GCGTGATACAACAGCTCTTGGGCAGGGTGATGACCTTCAAAGACATCAGTCCCCTCAAGAGGCCAACCTCCTTGATTAGAGGGTAATTACTGCAGTAACACACACTCTCTGTGTCTCCCTTCTTCATATTTCTCCTGAGAAGGGCTGGATGTAGAAGTTTAGGATGAGAGCCCTCACTCTGAGCACCTCCCAACACAGCCATGGGCTCTGCTCTTCCTAAGGCCAGTCCAGCCCCTCCAACACACACACAACAACCCCTCAGGCACCAAACCCAGCTTGGGATACCAGGCTCTCCCCTGTGTCCATCCTCTCCCTCCTGGAACCCCTCTGCCTCATCTAGACCTGCTGCTAGAAACCACCTCTGGTCTGATAAAAGGTCAAAGAGGCAGGAGCACCCTGTTTTTATCTACTACAATCAGTTACAGAAAACACCACCTTACATTTCACCCTCCCTGTCCTTTTCAAAGCTCACCCATTTCAGCTCAGGTTTGTTTCCCCCCCCATAACAAACACATAGTTTGTAATCCTTCAGGCAGTTTCCCCAGCTAACCAAACCTGCTTTTTTTACCTTTTGGTACAAAGCTGACCAGCTGCAGAGAGATCTCTTGATGCAGAGAGGTCATGAGAACCCACCTTCCCCCCTGCTCAGCTTACCCGAGCTCTGGGTAAGCCCCCAGGGCTGGTTTACATCCTTTCAGATAAAGGTGGGGGCTGCTCAGAGACCAGCTGGCTTTGCTTGAACCAGGTGTTGTGACTAACACTGATTAGAAATCAGAGGAGAAAAAGGACTGGAAAATGGTGCATCACCTAAACCTGACCTTGTGCACAAACACACACTGGAAGGTCTGAGAAAGCTCCACCGGGTTTTCCAAACTCCAACAGGCTTTTTTCTCCCCAAGCTCACAGGCTTTGTGGATCAAGCATTGCCTGCTGTGCAGGAGACCAGCATCCAAACCCCCTGAGCTCTGGGACACAATGAGCATGTGTCTCATCCCACTAATTACCCATTTTGCCAAATTTTCGCAGCAGCTTCGATGCAAAGCCAAGTCTTGGAGGAAATATTCTGTCTTGCTGAAGTAGTGCTGGGTATGTTTGTATACACCAAGAAACGGCTTTTCTCTCTGCTGGAGTGGAATGAGCCTTTCCCCAGGCAAAGGGGAAGTGCCACCTCCTCCCCTGCCCCAGCTGCACTGTCGGATCTCTGAAACCGAAAGCGGCTCCGTTCCTGCCGAAGGAAGATAAATGCTGCTACCACCCAGTGGAAAGTCAGCTCACAGCCCTGGGTGCTTCGCAAAACTTTGCCCAAGTTTGCAAAGACTAATCCTGAACATCCCTACGGAGCCACAGAGCTCCTTCCCATTCTTAGTTCGTCCTTGTAGACGCAGTAATTCTGAAATTTGGACACAAAAACCTAGAAGGTTTGAATGCTTTTTATTTGAATTTTTATACAGCGATACAAATTATACAGATTTGTTACAGTACAGGTTTTGCAAGGGGTTTATAGAGGTACTTTGTGAGTTTTTGGTTTATTTAAAAGAAAGAGGCAGATCTCGGGAGCACGGTGACATGAACAAAACAATCTCATGGCAGGGAGCAAATCCCTGCCATGGGGAACACTAACCTGGCTGAAACCTACTGGGCAGAAAGGTGGTGGCAGCGTTCCCAGCAACAACATCCCCAAAACATCAACCCTGGGATACTCTTGGAGCTTTACACAGGAATTGGTGAGTGTACAGGTAAGTCCTCACAGCCCTTGAATGCACTTTGCTGCAGAGGGGACAGAAATGGGGGAAGCTGATGTCACACTGAGCAGGAGATGTCACAGAACAGAGTCACTGCCACGATGGAAAAGGAAACCATAAAATGCCTCTGATTTAGTCACTCCAACAGGTACAGTAAGATGAGGAACACGATCCCAGACTGACACCACACGTGCCACCAGAGCCCGACTGCCCAGTTCTTGTGCCCATCTCTGCTGGGTCCAAGTGATCAGACACAGGAGGAGCAGCAGAGCTCCCCTGCAGTCCCTGACACCTGGGAGAGGTGCCAGCCACACGGCCAGAGCTTTGGGAGTGTTTCTCCAGTTAGTCCAGAACACACAATGTCATCAAGATATTGCTGTTACTAACGTGCATCAGGCTTGAGAGTCAAGTGCCTGGCACTGAAGGATTAAAGCCTTTCAGAAAGCAGGGTCGAAAATATGATTACACCATCCTAAATGTTTGGTTTAACACTGCTATAGCGAGTGGTATCACGAACAACAGAATAAATTACAGATTATATAGAGAAAATGTGTGCACCAAATAAAAGATGGCTCTCTGCCACTTGCAATACGCTTCATTCCTGCAGTGGTTAAGTGGCTTTTGAGAGGAAGGAGTCAGCTTCCAGATGAGAAAATTCCAGTCTCAGCTGGAAATCAAATTCCTCTTCAGCCACAGAAACTCCCCCTTCTAAAAATTTAGGACAAGCCACACCTACTAAATTTCATCCCGAGAGTCCATCCCAGAGGAGCCCTTGAGAACTACAAAGGTAACTGATTCTAGGCTGGAATACACCAGGACAGAGGAGCAAACCCCTTCTTTCAGAGCCTTTGTGCTCATCTGGTAGCGAAACACAGTAACCATCTGAATGCAAAACATAAACTTAACACAGATTTCAAGATGCTCAACGTTAACAGCTCATCACCCTCGTTCCTGCTGCCAGTGGGAATAACCAGGAGGAAGGAAGGAGGTTGGGACAGAAAACCAGTGACTGAAGCCAACCTGGCACACACAGCCTGTGCCCAAAACACACCCGGGGGAGTAGGGGGATTCCTGGTGAAGGGGCTGCACATGCATTCCAAGATTTGCTGGCTTTAGTATTAAATCTTTCCTACAAAAGGAGGGATTACAATATCACAGGATTTGCTCTAAAACTCTCACCATTTTATCATCTTTCCTGAAGACAAGTCAGCAGCCAGTACTACAGGTAGCAAATGCTCCTACTAGACTATGTGCCAAAGTCAGGATTGAAACTATCACAGTATTCATAAGACAACTGAAAAATATCAGTATCATCCCAAACTGCCCTGGGACAGCGAGGCTTGGCCACAGTCCCCCATCATCCCCAGCCCTGGGACACCTGCAGAACTTCAGAAATTCATGGTCAGCACTGGAGACTTCCAGTAGTGTCAGCACATCTCAGGAGCAGGTGAACAAGTTGTTGCTGCCTTAGGAAGGCCTGTACAGCCACACTTGAGGGCACGAATTTAACGTGACTCTACCATCACCAGCCCATTATTTGAGTGTGTGGACATTCCTCCACCTCTTTCTTCAGCCATCAGAACAACCTTGATGGCCACAAGCACAAAGAGCACCCTCAGGAACTGCTCCAGGCTTGCACAGCCCAACGAGTCGGCCACACGGCGATGCCAGCACTGGGTGCTGCCCTGAGGACTGGGATGAGCTCTCCCAAGGGCCCTCCTGGGCTTGGGAGCTCAGTGGAGTTTAATTTTTGGTGGTTCCCAGGGAGTTTTGCAGCACATTAGATGCTGCTGTTCACTCCTGCAGTGTCCCACAGCTCCTCCAGACACCCACCTTCCCCACCTGCAACCCAACAGCAGAAACACACCAAAGCACTTCCAGCAGTAGCAAATTCAATTCCAATTCCAAAAACTGCCTGCTGCCTTCCTACCTTCAGTTTTGTTTATTTTTCTAAGTTTAAGCTCCAAGAAAGCTCTGCACAGCTACTAGAAATAACTCAGTGAGAACAGGAATAGCCAGAGAGTGAATGATCTGTTTGCTACACTGCTGGTACCTGCTTGGTCTGGGCTTTGCCATGCCAGGCTTAGCTTTAAGCTGCAGATAAAGTCAAGCATTACAGGTTAAACCTCAACTGCTTTTTTTGCTGGTGGGACGGGGAGAAAATAATCTTGTTTCCTCCTACAAAACCTAAATGCCACATCCATATATTAAATATAGTTGTGTCAACTGTTGACACAAGCTGGTTTGATGGGCTTCTGTAGAGGAAAATGTTCATCAGGTGAAGTTTTGAAGGAGGGAAAGAAAAAGGACTGGAGGAGTCTGACCCTGAGCTGCATGGGAAGCACAGTGTGGAATGCTCCAAAGAAACCATGAATGTTTGCATATGAAGAACTATAAAAAGGAAAAGAAAAGGTACTAAATGATGTTGGGATCAGGCTGCATTCACTAGTGGGAAACCCTTGACCAAACCAATATTGGCAGATACAGAAAAAGATTTCTAGAACCAAGATGAGCCACCTCTCTCACAAATCAGGGCTCCCTTCCTCCATGCAGTGGTGAAATCACTGGTTCCACTGCTGGGTTTGACAGCCCAGCTGTGGCAGCAGCTGCAGGGCAGCAACTCCCCCAGCCAGCCCTGCCCTTCCACACACACCTCGGGTGGGGTCAGGGAGGACACCCAGAGGCTCCAGAGCAGGGCTGGGACTCTGCTCAAGCTCTGCAAAGAGGTCTAAAGAGAAGGTGGACTGAGTAGCCAGAGGCAAGAACTTCCCATCCTTTCAGGCCATGGAAAGCAGTAAAACCAGCAGGGAGGTCAGAGCTCATTTCCTCAATAAAATCATGGCTCTACCTCTTTTAACTTACCCTGCAATAAGCACGTATTTCAAAGCCACAGGGCAACAGTCTCTTTAACTGTTAAGTCTACTGGAAAACAGGTCACTTGGAAAAGTTGGGAGAAACCCAGCCTGTGGGACACAGAATGAGGAGCTGTAGCACCCCCAAGTCCCACCTGGCAGCCTCAGCAATGGCACTGAAGTGACACTGAAACCACAGGGTAAAGAACTTGGGCTTATTTCCACCCATAAACAATTTTTACTTCACTGTTCCAGCACTGTTTAGATTAGATTCCTCCCCTTTATCTTTTCCTCTTCCCCCCTTATTTTGTACCAGAATAGCTCTGGTACAAATTAACACAATATTTGAAAACTGAGGGGGGGAAAAAACATGCTAGAGCAGACTCAAATAAAGACCAATGTTAAATATTACTTAATGTTTTCTTTTATTTAAAAGATCATTCACAAAATACCATATCCATAAATTTATTTTGTTATGAAGCAGAATGTGTTAAGTGTTTGGAATTCACTTCTTATTTTTTTTTCCTTTGTTTTTACATTTAAAAGTCAACTGTCTTGACTAGAGGTGAGTTTTTATATGGGAATTTGTTCTTAAAATCTTTTCCACATTGAAGATGTAAATAGATCAATTATTGGTTTGGAATACAACCACACAAATGCATGTCTGTCTTAAATTAAGTATTAGTGTTAGACAAATGGTTCTTATCTCAGAAGCAGATTAAGTGAAAGGCAGCAGGAAGGAAAGAGTAGTTCTGTAAATTGCTGGGACTCTGACTTACAACAGGAACTTTTAGGGAAGAAATTCATCACTAGCAGTGGTGCTGGTAGTGGGGCAGCCATGCTTCCAAACTCCTCTTGCAAGTACTCTGGGGTGCCAGCTGTTCTGTCTGAAGGCTCTCACCACTGGCACTGGGGGCCCAAGTTTTTCCCATGCACTGGACACATCCACACCTCAGGTTTTGGTTTTCAACATCAATGATCTCTCCTTTTGCTCCAGCCTCCCCTCCCTCCTCCCACACAACACTGGCAAGAAACATTTCCAAGTGAAAAGAGGTGCAGCAACACGAGATGCTTTTTACCCAAACTTCTACATGAGAATCTAAAGCAAGAGGATTTCTAATCTGCCCACTTTCAAGGTATTCTAAAAGCTGAGGTCCTAAAACTGTACCCCACTGGGCAAAGAAATTCAGGGGATAGTGGCGATCAAATACTGCATGGCAAAGTATACACTCCTTCAACAAAAATAAAAAAGTCAAATTTTATTGGTAGAAATTTCATTTAAAAATTTACCAAACATGTAAAACCCAAAAAAGTAAGCAGAAAGAGCCAGTGAGCAGTTGTGCTCAAACAGGCACGTTTTTGCAGCACTCTAACCTTGAGCTCAGAGGTGCAGTAGTATCGTACCATTTGGAAGTCAACAGCCAGCAGGAAGAGGCTGCTGGCAGAGGCTTTATCCATACTGATTCCACCAGCTATTCCCAAGGCTTGTCAGGCAAGGCATCTGTTAAATTGATCCTTCCTGGCAACCCCTGTGAAAGGGCAGCTGCCCCCCCCTTAGTTTTCTAAGGGGCTCTGCTGTGAACAGTAACTGTCACCAATTGTCAGGAATGGCATTTCACTGCCCGGTTACAACTGTACGTTCCTCTGTCCAACTCATCTGGACTCTTCAGTTTTCCTCTTCAGAGCCACAGCAATACAGAACGAGACATGCAGGTCAGAAGAGGAGCACTGAGAAGTAAAAGGAAACGATACAGGGAAATAACTAAGTCTAACCTGTGCTTCTAAAGTAAAACAAACCCAGAAAGGAAGAAGTGAAGCAGCACCTTTGTCCAGAGACCTCCACGCTCGTGGAAGCAGCCACACTGCCTTTTCTACTGGCAACTGTGCTGCTTGGAAGGAAACAGAAGAGGGCAACTCAGCACAAAGCAGGCACTAGATACAGCAAAGCCAAGAACGTACTAAAAACCACTTGTTAACAGCTGACATGCATTCACAAGCTCTGTGTTTTCGGTTTCAAAGAGGACAAATACCAGATGGCAGGAATGGTAAACTGCAGGGTTGACATTCCAGCAGAGCTAGTCACTCTGTACTGTCTTGCTTTTTCTCCCGCCTCCCCATTCCCTCCCAACCCCAGACTCAGTCGTGCTCTTTTACTACTTCCTCCCGGGGCTTGGCTCCGCCGAAGATCGCAGAGTTTGGGTTGGCTACTTGATTGAGGGGAGTATCGACCGTTCGAGGTTTGAGCTGCAGTCGGGGTCGCTGTGCTCTTTCCTCTGGAAGAGAAAACAGGCCAGGGCTAAGATCCGGCTGTCGAGGGCAGGAGCTCCCACCTGACAGAGGAACCACGAGTCTCCTTCCCGAGGGAATTACCCAAGGTGGGAGTTTACCTTCTGTTGGCTCTCTGAAGTCCATGGAAGACCCACGAAGGGGAGGCCCATCTCTGAAGCGACCGGTGCCACCACTTCCCATGGAGGCACCGGGTGGTCGCCGGTCTCCGGGGCGGGTTCCTCTACCCCGACCTCCCAAGAAGTCATCGTCTTTGAATCCTGAAGATGGAAAACAGTGGATTTAAAGAGCATATTTTGCAATGTTTTGCATCTAGATTTTTATCTGGATGACTGGAAAACTTCACAAGTCACTGCTGCCAGTCCAAGGTGGTGCACTGAGCCTTTTGTCTGCAGACAGATTTGCTTCACAGAGGTCTAACATGTTCTAGAAGAGTCATTCAGATTCCCTTTGAAACCAAGTATACTATGCCAAGTTCAGAAAGAGCTTTATCCACTTAGAGGCTTATTGGAGTGTTGGAGAGTGGGTCAAGTGAGCTTAAAATATGAGCTTCAGCTGCAACTTCAGATTGTTAACACCATTAGCTGACTTCAGAGACAACACTACAAGTACTCAGAGTACTTCTGTAGCCAGAAGATTCCACTGGCTGCAGCCTTAGCATGAAATCTGCAGGAGCAGAGCAAATGGGAAAATAGCTGGGGAGTAGTGAAATACACAGTCCTTACAGAACAGAGTAAAACCCCAAGGCTTTTTAGCTGTACCATTAAGTGACAAGGTATTTACTAGACTAGTTAAAGGATTGGGGGGGGAAAAAAATCAGATTTTAAACTGATTATATTTCCTCAGTTTATGTATCAAAAAAATCAGGAACTGTCTGTCACTGACCAGAGCTCCAGTCTGTACCAGTGACTATCCTGGAGTATCTCTCCAAACCTCCACTGCCTGCATTGAATTGGAGGAGGATACTTCAATTTAACAGCACAGGAAAGGGAATATACTCAGATTTTCAGAAGCTGCCTGGAAGAGAAAGTTGTTTGGTTCCCAACTGAGATTTTCCTTTCCACTTCAGTATTTGGCAGAGTTGCAGAGCTGTCCCTTACTTACTTCAGTGCCAAACCAACCATCTTTAAAGACTTGATCCAGGGCTGTACGACCTGAGAAGAAAAGCTTTTGTAGCAACTAAGACTTAAATGCTAAACTTTTGGCTCACAAATCACTCGTCCAGCATTTAACAGGCCGAAATGCATCCACATTTGGAGAAGCTGCCAAGGAAGGTATGAAGCTGTGGCACCAGAATGCTTAGCTCCAAAGGCAGGTCAAGCACAGTGCTGTAGCAAGCTCCTCTCTCCAGCATCACACTTCCAATCCATGCTGGTGGCAAGGGCACACTTTGGCACCGCTCCTACATCGTCCATTCCACTCACGCAGAGACCAGACATTGCAAAGTTGCACTTGCCAGCATCTCCCCATCAGAAAATGGACCAAACCCACGAGTTCAGAGGACAAAAGCAATTGTGTTAATGCCACCCTGGATTCTAATAGGTAGGAACTGACTGGAAGGCAAGAGCAAACCCGGTGGCTCTGTCACTACCTTGCACTCAGCAAGCTCAGTCGCTGCTGCATGCATTGCTGTAACAAGTTCAGGAATATTTTGCATTTAAAAGTATTTTGGAACACTAATCCATCTTTGGAGAAGTCAGTTTCTGCAGGAATACACATAAGATGTCACATCTCCCTAAGAAGGTGAAAGCCTCTGCTCTGAAAGAGTGTCAGCCTTTCCACATGACCTGTCTGTCTCTGCTACTATTGAGAAATTTACTCTGCCAGATGTTTGAGAAATGCTTAAAACAGACCGTGAGCTACATCTGGACAAGTATTCTGTCACTTAGGGTGCTTTCACAGAATTTACAATCAAGACTCTCTCCTCTGTTACAAGGCAATGGAAGATTCCCCCTGAGGAATCCCACCACAGCTGCAGGATGTCCAAGTGGGCACATACAGTAGATTCAATCAAAGCAGTAAGGGGGGACAAATGAAAAGGAGAACATTTCGGTGCCTTTTAGGCTCCCTCTCTGTATAAGTGTGAATACTGGTACCAGAATTGAAGTCATCTCTGGAATCCCATCCACCTCCTCTGGATTCTCGGGAACCTCCTCCCATTCCTAGGAAAAAAGCCACAATTGTGTTCAGATCTGAAGCTGTGGGAAAGACTGGGCAAGGGGATACCAAACCAACGTTTCAGTCCTTCAATGTCCAAAAGTCATGCTGCTGGAAAATCCTTTCCTTTCAGTACTACCAAGTTCCATTGCACAGGAACGAACAGTCAGTTTAAATGAACCAAGAATAAATGCTCAGAAAAGTTTCCCTAATACACATTCAATGGAAACCTTTAGTGAGTCTGGTTCAACCAAGCTTTAACTACAGCCAAGCCTCTCTTCACACTGGAACTGGAGACATAGTCCAAAATAAGTATTTGTCTACTTGTGCTTACTCACTTTTCTTACATCATCATAAAATAGTAGCAGATCAGACTGTTGGGCTTATGATTGTCCTCTGCAAGACACAGCATGTTATTAGGGGTATTGGTCTCACTTCCTGGGCCAGGAGTGACAACATATCCAGCCTTTGGACACAAAGCACAGCTCAATTCCAGACACCTCAGGAGCAGCAGCAGCAGCTGGTTAGAAACGTGTTTATGCCACATTTCTCCTCGCAATAGAATTTTCATGTTCACTTGCATGCCTTGTCTCAGCATTAGTCCAGCACCAGAAGACACAACTACAACCATTATATTTTAAGAAGCTACTTAGAAAAATGGAAGTCACCTCTGTCATCAGGCCCGCCACCTTTTCTGAAGCCAAAGCCACCTTTGTCCTGTTTCCTGCCTTCTGCTATGTCCACTCGGAGTGACCGGTCACCCAAGAGCTGTTAAATCAAGGGGAGAATCTGTTCAGGATGTACCACGAGGGCTGCAAAGGAGTTTGAGACTTATGTTTATCTTTGATTTCACAAATTAATTGCAAGTGTACTTACTGCACCATCATATGTAAGAGCTTCCTTGAGTGACTCCACCTCGTCGAACTCTACGTAACAAAATCCTGTAAAAAACAAATCTCAAGTTAACAGCACTTTAGAAGGCCTTTGTAAGAAGCTGCTCCTCCTGCACATCTGCTAATGGCCTCCCTTCTCTTTCCATCTGTGGTAAGTGCAAGATGCATTAATACTGAATGCATTTACCTGTGCCTGTTAATGATGGGGCCAATCCTGAAACAGAACTCTGGGCACCACGTGAATGCCAAGAGCCCTTTTCCACAGAGTTCTCATTGCAGATTAGATCTGATCTATACAACTGTTTAGGTGAATATTGACACTTGTTTCTTGATATTTTTAAACAAGAAGCTGAAATACCTTCTTGGCCAGCATTGTGATTTTGTGTCATCACATTACTTAGTGGATTTATTACTTTTCAAAAAGATCCTCTCCAAGTTAAGCCTTTTCCACCCCTAAAAGTAACTTACAAATATAGTCCCTTTCCACTGGCCAATTCCAATGGAAATTAGATTTGCATCCTCTAAAAGTTGCCTGAATCGTTTATCTACTTGCTTTTTCTCCCTGTCTACTAAAAAAGGACAGAGGTGAAGCAATGGCAGTCTTCTGAAGTACAGGAATATTGTGTAAGTACTCAATGCTTAAGGTCATGGGTCTTAAGTGGGTCAGACACTTCAGCTCTGATAGAATTCATACAAGACAAACAAGGTTTGAGAAAGTCCTTTTAGGGCAGAGCAAATATTGACTCCTGTCACTCAGGTTACATCAAGATGATGGAAGGAACAGTGAATCTCGTTCAAATGAGAAACCTCCATAACTCAACATAAAGATCCCAAGATCAACTGTGCCTTAGCCTGCAATTCCCCATTGCAGTGGCTTTATTTTCTCCTCCCAGTTCTCCTTCTGCAGCCGACCCAGGTGGGAACACTGACCTTTAAATTTATCTGTTTCCTTGTCCCTGACTAGCCGCACGCTCCTGATGCTGAGATCCTTGAAGATGGCATCTATGTCTCCCTGGACAGTGTTGAAGGGCAGGTTTCCCACATAGGCTGTGAAAGGGGGTTCTGTTGGCAGTTCTTTATTTCTGCGGGAACCAAGGCCACCACCACGAGACCTGTTGGAAAAAGCACAGTGCCCTGGAAGTGACTCCCAGCACGGCCACACTGCAGGCTCTGGGGACTGTCACACAGCTCTGGTGGTTTGTCCACCCCTTTGCCTGCACCTGCCACCTTCACTCCTGGTCAACTCCTTTCCAGTGTTACCTGGTGCAGTACTTCCATGGAAAAACCAACCAAACAATGTATTTTAATGCATTAGAGGAACTCAGTAACAAGGTGATGAATGAACTCCTTTCTCATCCCACAATTCATTAAGACCTTATGTTTCCTATCTCTACTGTCCCCTGCTCAAAAACACTGTATCTTCAAAACCACATCCTAGACTAGAATTTTGAGAATCATTTATAGCAGTGAGGAAATACTTGTATTTGTTTGTCAGCTTATCCTGACACTAAGCTGGATCCAATGCTTTCAACCAAATAGTATATTATCAATACCCACTCCACAATCATCTAAATTCTTTCAGCAGCATTTATCTTAACAGAAACACCTCCTAAGTCTGAAGTTGTTGCCATAACTGTCAGATACCTGGACTGGAATGCTTTGAATCAAACACACCATAAAAAACTTGGTTGAGCAAGGGGTTCTAAGGCAGAAAACCCAATTTCAGTGCTGTCTGGATGTTTAGTTCTTCCTTTGTGCCGTGAATTACAAACTGCAGTAAACTAGGTGGTCTTTCCCTGTCTCATCCCTCAGTCTCAGTGAAGCTCTTGGCATTGGCTGCTGAGGAATTAAATTGTCCCAGCTAAATTCTTTACTGTACCATTGTAACACACCTGTGTGTGAATCCCTGTAGAGCCAAACCAGCTTGGATCTCCTGTACAGAGAGCAAGGTAACAAGGCAGCCTGAAGTTAAAGCTCTTGGACTTGCAGACTATGGGGTGCCACTGGTTCCAACACCATTTGCCTCCCTCAGGAACCTCTGATCTTTACCTGGGATGCCTCCCTTCCACTCTGCCCATCTTCCCTTTATCACCTGCCTTCTGCTGGGCTTTGCTCATGTTTGTTCCCCTTCCCAGAGGCTCCCTGTGCATTTAAGAGCCCAGTGGAACACAAGCTGTACTAAAGCAGATTTGCCAATGTGACATGGACCAATCAGAGTGCTGCAGAATCCTACCTAAAATCCAGGAGGTCAAATAATTTTATTATTTCCTTTTATTCTGGCTGGTTGCATGCAGCCAGAAAATCCATTGGGCCAGCAAGGTACTTGTCAGTATTTTTCCTCATTCCAGAATAAATATTTTATTGCTAATGAATCAGATAATGCATTAAGCTTGAATAAGATTCCTTAACTCTTCCTAGGTGAGCCTGTCATTTGTGCCTTTTTATGGCAGCAGCTCCATGCAGGAATCATTTATCACCACCATTATCAACATGCTGCTAAACATACTTGAATCACAACCTACATATCTTTAATTAGTGTCCACCCAGGTTTGTATTTTTGCATTTTTGACAATATTCCTCATCTGCCTTTGTCTCATTAACAAGTCAAAAACATACTGGAGAACTAAAGCTGCAATAGCTGGGTGCTGTGAATGTATAGCAGAATTAACTTCAGTCACAAGACCAAGTTTTAAGGAGGAACTCCAAGAAAGCTGAGTTGAGTTGCTCTTCTAAATAATTCCATAATATGTAGAATCAGGTCCATGTCTTTGTCCTTAATTCTCATCTATGGCATAAAGAACAGCTATTAAAATGTGCATTTAATTTGCAGTCAAAAATAAAAATAAAAATCAATATTTATGCTCTATAGGAACATCAGAATTGCCCCAGCTGAGTTGCAAAGGGGCATCCCCTCCTTGAGCACATTCTCAGCACGTTCCTGAGCTGCCAGTGACCTCCTCAGTGAACTGATTCACCCAAAAACCCACCCTGGAGTTGAATCCTCAGCCAGATCAACCAGGTGATCTGGACAGCTGCAAACAGCACCGTGCCAAGATGGGAAGGGGAAGGAGAGCAAGGGCTGGAACCTCAGCTTTCACCAGCAACCCCCACTTGAGCCACTTTGGGAACCACACCCACAATCCCCAAAAGGATTTTGTGTGTCACAGACAAACCTCGTTTCTACCACAGCACACCAGAACTTCCCGGGGTGCCTGTGTGCAAACCCAGGCCCTGTTGTGAAATTTGATTCATTTTATGTCAGGAAATGAAGTATTCTTTCTGAACTTGATATGAAGGCCTTGGTTATCAGATACAGAACTATGCATTTGGTATTTCAGTTTCCGTTTGAAGAACAGGAATGGTCAACAACTAACTAAGTTCCAAACTGCTTCCTACTGAATCCAGGGTATAGAGACACTAAAACAAACTGGTTTGGTACTTCCCTACATTTTTCCAATACTGAAACAGTGAAATAAATTAAAAAAAGGGCTGACTTCAGTAACCAAACAATGAGATTGGAAGAAGATTCTCTCATTTACAACAGAATAGGACAAAAGTCAAAAAATAATTGAAAACATCTCTGAACCAAGTGAACTGGGTCACACCAGAGTGTTGAATGAATATCTGCATTTCCCACTCAGTGTAACTTGCTCAGACACAATTAGGTAATAATTATGTCATCTCAGTGTGGGAATCTGAAAGACAGGATTTGACTTCCTTTCCAGAAAACCAGAGAGCTGAAGAGGAAAGCTTGCTTCTAGTGACTGAACTTACCTTGTGGTGGGCAGAGTTAATGAGGTGGAAGGACAACTGAACTATCATTTTGAAGCTACACTTTTGGAAAGTTTAGTTCTCTCTCTAGAAAACAAGATCTGTGAAAAGTTCAAAAAATATACTTGCAAGCCAGCAGGTGAGTTAAAGAGCCTTTCCCTAGGGATCAACGCTCAGGATTTGCCAGAGGCAAGAGCCTACCTGGGTTCCAACATTAGAGCCCTACTGGGGCACTGTAAGGATCAGCAGGATGCAAGTTCTGCCAGGAGCCTCCAAGACCACAGCTCTAAATTCATACCCAATTTATTCAAGCAACCCAGGACACCTCTACAGCATCAGATGTCTTCAACAAAAAGCTTCCCCAAGGCTAAAAATTAGGAGACATCTATTAACACTGGATGGGTGAGACACAGGACCCAAAAACTGCCACAAGGACAGGGACTAACTCTCCATTCTCATTGAGCTGAGCAGCAGTTCAGCAGGTGAATCTTAACCTTTAGTAAGGAGCTCAGTGCTCCAAGCCACACCTAAATAAACAGCCCAGCAGCGATTCAGGAGTGACAAACACTGTTCCCTTCAACTCTGCAGATGTTTCAACTAGGCCTCAGTGTGATTAATTACAGGGTTTTGTGTCATATTTCGGGCTCCAAAACAGTTCCCAAACAGCCTTTATAGTAAGTTTTTTGTAATTAATGTCAGCAGCATGTTCTTCATCTGGAATAAGGTGACTTCTGCATCCCATAGTGTTGTGCTTCAGCTCTGAATCAGAGCACCATCAGACACAGGAGGGGTAGCAAACCAGGCCTCATCACACCACAGTCACATTCTGGTGCTCCCACACCATCATTTTGAAGATTATGAGAAAGAGGCAGATCTCACATATGCTAGAACCTGTTGGGCACTGATTTCCCATCTGTCACACTGAAATCTCACTCTCTGTACACACAAAGGTTATGCAAAATGCTACTTTTACAAAAACTACTATACCTCAACTGAGTTTACACTACTCTTACACTTCTAGAGTGCCTAAAAATGAGTAGGATGCAATTTAAATTAACATGGGATTCTTTAATCAGAACCTTCAAGAAGAATGTTTTCATTACACTTCCCATATTACAGGACTTTATACAAAGTACAGAGACTTGTTAAGGTCTGAAATTGTGAATTAGCTGTTAGTAACTTACTAGCAATAATGTTAAATCAGATGCAAGGACAAGTTCCACTCTAATATTAGTGGTGTCTGAGGCTTAAAACTGCAGCTAGATCAGAATAAGTACATTTTCTCATCTGTAAATGCATCTACTAGTCTGCAGGATGCCTCTAGCTCTCCAAACAAGGATCCAGGTCTTGCCTGAGAGCAAGTTGGAAGTTCTCTGTTACAGAAATCTGAATATGAAATAGCTGTAATTTCATTACTTCATAGAATGTGCCTACACTGACTAGGCTACACTGCACAGCAACATCTGCATTTATTATGTGTCAAATGCTACTCTAGGCCACTGGCAAGGTTATTTTGTTACAGAATTTAAAAAAGAAAACAACAGAAATGTAAGTGGCTACATCAGCTGTTTGCCCTGGGACATCTCTGGATTAGACACAAAGGGTATCTGTGCATGAAAATGAGCTTAAAAAGCTTAAGGGTCAGAGAGTTTTCAAAGACAAGAAAACTTACTGCTGTTCTAACCCCAGCAGCAGCTTGTCCCTGCTGCCCAAAGAACCTGAAATGAAACCAGGTTATTCCTCTAAGAGCAGAAAAGATATGAACAGTATCGATCAGGAAACACCTCGGGAGACGAGGTGATACAGTAACATACGTGTGAAGATTTGCTCACCAGGAAGTTTATTCCATGCTTTTATACCTGCTGTTTTGGTTTGGTGCAACAAAGAAACCCACAGTAGCACCAACCTTCAAAAAGTCCATTGTTCGATCGCACCTCCCTAACCTGATTCAAGACAAACTCCTAATTGCTGGTTATTGTCTCCGTAGCTCCTCCCCTACGCGCACTCCCCAGCAAGGAGACAGGGGCGAGCCCTCTCCCCAAGGATCGGGGGTTTGCAGTCGGCACCCGGAGCCCCGGATAACGCAGGACGACGGCTCCCCGAGAGGAGGCACCACAAAGCCCTCCCATTTCCTCCCTCCGCAGGCACCACCACAGCCCCTGCCCCGCTTCGGGGACGCTCCCTCCGCCCCTCCCGGTGCACGATCCCCTGCCGGCCCGCCCTGGCTCCGGCCCAGCACCTCCAAAACCCCCGCTCCGCTCGCCTGCGGCCGGCGGATCGCAACCACCCTCCACCCCTCCTCCTCCTCTTTCCTCCCGCCCATTCCGGCGCTCCCGGCCCGCAACCCTGCGGGCTCACGCGCCGACCACGGCCGGGACCCCGGCGACCGCCGCACAAAGCGGGGCGGGCCGCGGCCAACGGGACAGAGCCCTGCGGCGCCCCGGGCGGTCCGGGGCAGCCGCTCCCCCCGCTCGCCATCCCCTCACGGCGGGGCAGGCCGCGGCCCCGCCTCGCGTGGCCGAAAAGAAGCCGCGGGGGCGCCGCTCCCCCCGCCGCCTCCTGCCCGGCGCGGGGGCGAGCCCCCCGGGCGCGGCCCCCGGCCCGCTCACCTCGGCCGCCGCCGAAGCTGCTGCTAGCGCCCGGGCGTCGTAGGGATCGAAATCCGCCATCGGGCCGCCGCGGCCTCGTCCACCGTTGCGAAGCGTGACAGGACGCGCCCCGCAGTGAGCCCGCAACGCTTATATACGGCGGCGCGCGTGGCCGGGGCTGCTGCCCCGCCCGGCGCCTGCCGCCAGCTCCCCGCCCCCGACGGCGGCTGCCCGCGCCTGCTGGGCCTGTGCGGAGGCGCGGCGGACGTGCCGGGACGGGGATCTGGCCCGGGGATCCCCTGGCCGCGTCTGCCGGCGATCTGCCCGGCGGCGGTAACGCCTCCGGGTGGCGTTTGCGGGGCGCTCGGTGGCTGACACGAGCCCGGCCCGCGGCTCTGAGGCGGTTTTAGCCGCCCCGGTGGGTCGAAAGCTGCCTCATCTGTGCCCCCAAGCATCCCGCTGTCCCTGCGGGTGGGGTCGGGGCAGGGATCGCAGTGATCGTGGAGGTGGGTCCTGCTCCAGGGGTTATGTTCATGCTTTAGGGATCACAGGGATGGATCCTGCTCCAGGGGTCACGTTCATCCTCTAGGGATCACAGGGATGGATCCTGCTCCAGGGGTCACGTTCATTCCCTGCAGTCCCGTGGCTGGCACGGGAGCCTGGAAGGGCAGTGGAAGATAGTGCTGGATTTTACTGTAAATAAAGAAAATGGGCTGACCTGTGTCCTTAAAAAGTACCATTTGCACCAACTGGTTTGCCTCCTTTTCCCGGGCCATTATTTCAGTTTTTATAATAAAACCAAATGACAGATTCTTATACAACAGCTGTGCCCACACCTCGTGTCCACCTTTCCCTGAGGGGAGCGCGGGGATCCCTTGGAGCTGGAGCACCAAGTCCTGGAGTCCTGCAGTGGTGCTGGTCTGAGGGTCGGGGAGGGAACATGGCCCTGAGGGGAGCGGGGCTGTTGCAAAATGTGAAATATGTCAAGAGTATCTGAAGTCAGGATGTTCTTTTATGTGAGATCTTTGTACACTTTCAACCTAATAATCAAGAAAGACTGCATGTGATCGGCAGGCAGCAGGAGCATCCCAGGACATAACAAGTAACAACCCTCAAGGATGTATTAAAACAAGATGTTGATGTGTGTCTATGTATACATTGTTAACCTGGCAAAATCCTCCAGGTCCATGTATCCTATAGCTGACCTATGTTCATTATAATACTGAAAATCATAGGTCAAAAAGACCCTGCCCAGGTGAAGACACATCCCCTGAGCATGTAAAGAGGTTACTTGGGGTTATGTGACTTGCATGGAAATTAATACTAAATCGTCGGAGTGTATTTAAAAAGTTACTAACTGAATTTCTCTGTATAAATAATGGCGCCAAAAGTCTGGTGTTTGTGGAACACGCCGACCACGGGGGCTTGCACAGCTCTGGAATAAATAAATGTGTCTGTTGAGTCGTGTCGTTGTTGGCTTGTTGCACAGCGGGGAAACGAACTTGGTTTTGTGGGATGAGGGGCTGAAGGGAGCGGAGTGTGCGGGGAGCGGGGGACGCGCTCAGGGGAGGCGGGGCTGAGAGGCCGATGCAGGGCGAAGCGGGCTGTGAGGGGGAGCGCGGCGCTGTGAGGAGAGCGCGGCTGTGAGGGAGCGCGGTCTTGAGGGCGGCCAATGATGGCAGCGGGCCTTTGTTGAAGCAGAAGCGGGCTGTGAAGGTGAGCGGGCACTGTGAAGGGAGCGGGGCTGTGAAGCGGAGCGGGCTGTGAGGGGCGTGCCTATGAGCGGGAGCGGGCGGGGAGGGGAGCGGGGCCTGTGAGGGGCGGCCATGAGGGGAAGCGGCTGTGAGGGCAGCGCGGAGCTGCCGGGCCGTGATGCGCGGCCTCACACGGCGGCCGGGCCCGTCCCGCTGCTGCCCCGCGAAAGAGGCGGTGACGGGGCGGGCGGCGCCCCGACTGTGCTGGCAGCGGCGGGTGGCCGTCGGCCGGGATGGTCGGGGCGACGGTGGGAGGTATGGAGGAGATGGAGGGATGGAGGGGATGGAGGAGCGGGGCGGCGGGTGACCGACCCCCGCGGAGCGTTGCTGCGGCTACGACGCGCACTTCCACTCGGACTCTTCTGGACATCGCCAAGCCGCGAGCAGTGATGGTGCGGCTGGCCGGCCCACCGAGAACCTTCCTGCAGCAACCTGCGGCAGGCAAGTAGAGGTGAGCGGGCGGCCCGCAGGGCTCGGGGTGCGGGTGGGTACCCCCGAGCCACTGGCTCGTCCCCCTCCGCTCCCGCCCTAGCGCATCAGTGTTGGGGCGCGCCCCGGTCGGCGCCGGCGCGGGCAGGCCATCAGCCTCAGCCCTGGGTCTCTCTTTGCAGGACGATGAGCTGAAGTTAACCCTGAAGCGGCTGGTGGAGGGGACTGGGAGCCACCCGCGAGGCCGCCCGCCCTGGCTTCAGCCTGGCCCTGGCGCAGGTCAGTGTTTCCCAGCGCTCTGCAGCCCCCGGTCAGTTCCTGGGGTCCCCTCTGCCAGCTCTGCGTGCTCATGGCAGGGGAAGGCTCTCATAACAGAAAACTGGTTTTAAATGGTCCTAGTCCGCTCTAGGAACAACGCACTTATAAAGTTATGAACTATACCGGTAGCATATTCATTCCACAGAATTCTGTCCTGCTTCAAGAGCCATCCCCAATTTGCAAACTTTGACCAGGTTTTCAAATATGCTGCATTTAGTGCTACTGTGATTTCTTAAAACTGACTTGCTTTTGGCTGTTTGTGTGGGAGATCTGAGAAGAGAACCCTTTAACAAACATTTCAGAGTTTGATTTTTTTCCTCCGTGCTGATGGAGTCTTTAACATGGCAAAGAGTCCCAGGAGTTGGGGTCACCAGTGAGATCTGACCTCAGCTAAGAAGAATTTCTGACCTGAGAAGTTCATAAAGCAGAAAAACCTGTGTTCTTCCCATTTCAATCAGGGCCTTGCCCATGCCAAAAAGTTTCATTGCTTCTGTTACAGGATCTGGCAGTTGCAATAAAATGTGCTCATTATTCATCTGTCATGTCATGTCCAGGGAAACAAACAAGCAAAAAATTAATATCAGCAGGTATATTTGTGTCTGCACAGAATCACAGAGTGGCTTGGGTTAGAAGGGACCTTAAAGCCCCATCCAACCTGGCCCTGAACACTTCCAGGGATGGGGCAGCCACAGATTCTCTGAGCAGCCTGTGCCAGGGCCTCACCACCCTCCCAAGGAAGAATTCCTTCCCAATATCCCATCTATCCCTGCCCTCTGGCAGTGGGAAGGCATTCCCCCTTGTCCTGTCCCTTCAGGCCCTTGTCCCCAGTCCCTCTCCAGCTCTCCTGGAGCCCCTTTAGTCACTGGAAGGGGCTCTCAGGTCTCCCTGAAGCCTTCTCCAGGTGAACCCCCCCAGCTCTCCCAGTCTAGTTCCTGTTCTGACACATCTTTACTGATCTGGTTGTCTCTATTCTGGCCCAAGAAAGCAGCACATCTACTGCTATGCTGAACAACTGTTCAGCTCTGTTTTAGCTGAACCCAATAAAACTTCACGAAATGGAAGAGTTGCAAAATGAGCTATTCCATCTCTCTCCTCAGGTTTTACAGACTTTTGAGGAAATTCCACTGTGCAGTGTCCTGGAACAGATAAAAGAAAAACACAATCTGGAAAAAGTGAAAAAGGTGAGTCAGCTCATGGCATTTGCCAACTGCTGCTTCAAACTAATTGTTTTCTATTCTTTGAAGTCTTGGTGTATGCTGTAGTTTTGGAGTTCTTGGTAAAGCAATCGACTCTAATGAAATAACAGAAATATTTGTGAAAACTGTGGGTTGATGACATTGTCATTTGGCCCGGTTTTAGCTGAGATTTGCTTGTGAGATGAAAAGGTAATCTAGGACAGTTCTTAAATACTGTGCAGGGAGTTGCTTTTCAGTGTCTTCCCTCCCTATGGCAGAGCTGTAGCTGGATGCGAAATCTAACTGAAGGGTTTTTCTAATCCCTTTTCTGTTTGTTTTTTTTTTTCTTTTCAGAAACTTGTGAGAAATGCTGCTTTTGGGAACTTTTTTGGAGTTATGGCTCTGTTCCAGTCTGGGCGGCTTGTGAAGGTAGCACTGCTGCTGGGGGTGTCAGTTCTGGTTCTGGGGGTGTCAGTTCTGATTCTGGGGGTGTCAGTTCTGCTGCTGGGGGTGTCAGGTCTGGTTCTGGGGCTGTCTGGGGTGGAAAGAGGATCCACAGAGAAAGGGTCATTGGCTCATCGATGCAACAGGACTTGAAGCATCGAGTTCAGTTCTTTTCTGTTGCACTAGTCATGGACTTTTTGTGCCTTTTAAATG